AGACGTAAGGGTCTTGCAATATTCCCAGTTTTCCCAGTGTAGTTGGAGGCGTCCACCCACTTGAGCTGGCTGTACTGGAAGCGGCTGGGGTGGAAGACTCCAGTCGTCCGAACCTGTGTTTCAGCGTCTATAATTGCGGAACCTCTGGGTGTCCTGCCTCTTCCTGATCCTCCTCTATAGTTGCCATATGGGCTAATTTAAAAGAATCTTTACCTCTAGAGCTGGCTATCTTCCTGTCTCTTGCTCTTTGTAGGCCCGTGAACTTAGATCTGCCTGAGTATCTTTGTGAAGTCTGACGAATGACGCTGGCTAGTGTGTCCATCGATCTAATCATAAGGACTTCCCTGGAATCCTTAGAGACTTCCTTGGCGACTTTGTCGATTTCTCCGTCAAAGATGGATGTTGTCGACCACGGGCTGTATAAAGTGGGCTGTAAAGTTCTCCCCAATTACAGGAGGCGAGGAGGCCTTGACGACGAGCCAAGGTCAGTGCTGCTGAAACAGATGTAAGATGATCCGTTAAAACTGCTGATCTTTCTTTGCATAAGTAAGGCAGAATAAATCATTCTATCATCTTCCGTCGTGGAATCCCGAATCTAGTAATAAGAGTCTCATTGATCGTCCTAGATCTATTTAACCCAAAGAACATACGTCTCGTCATGGTTTCTATATGAGCCAACTTGCGATCATCCATCTTGTAAATCTTGTTCTTTACATCGCTGATGATCTTATAGTTCTCATCGATGTCCTGGGCCTTGTAGAAGGAGTCCATGTTATCGCGGAGAACTTCTTGGCTTGAAAGTTGGGCAGATGTGGTATCTGAACTTTCGTGAGCTTTCTGGAAAGCTGCATCTAGATTCTGTGGCACTGCCGCGAATCGGGTCGATCGGGGTAGAGTGATTGCATCTGGATCATCTTCCTTCATCAAATACGTCTGCGCTGTATTGCCACTTTTAGATGGTGATGTGAGATCTAGGTTATTGACCATCCAATACCGTATTCTGCATCAGAAAATATGATTCCTCCATCATCCTCAAAACCATCATCATCAACAAATTGTAGATGCTCTTGGGACTCGCGTGTAGCTGTCTGTATATCTGATGAGGTTTGTGGCGATCTAGTTGACTTGTGCGCCTCTATGTGGAGATCTGACGGGTGATCGGCCTGGTGATGAACGAAGTGGAGATCGTCTATGGGATGATCTTCTCGGAGACTTGTGTTGATAGCTTCAGCGAAGCTCTTCGGCAGTCCCTCGATGTTCTTCTAGATGATGAGGATCTGGAATCATATGTCCTTAGCGAATGCCTTAGCGCGAAGCTTCATTTGCGGCCCGGTCCGGGGATCGATGATATGACCTTCAGCGAAGGCCTCCGTGATGTCTGATGGTCTGAGTCCATATCTAGAGATGAAATCGAAGATGGTGATGATCTCTCCGCCGCCGAAGGCCTTCGCGAAGGCTGTACATCTAGGTCCTTCGTCAAGGTGGTGCGGGACTTCCTTCAGCGAAGGTGACATCGTCTTGGCTGCTACGCTGGACGGGGGTGCCTCTGGGGTGCTGTCACGTTGGAGCCTTCGTGGCGTTCGGACCCCGCTTGCGCAGTTTGTAGTGGTCCTCCATGATGTTCATAAACTGCCGCATCATGTCTTCTGGGATGATCTGTGACGAAGTCGTCGGGCGTCTTTTTCTGCGATGGGGTTCACATCAATGACGCCTGACGATGGTGTAGTAGAGCATCAGGCTGCATGGTGATCTCTGCAGAAGTCACAGTCGCTGACACCGGTCGCTTCTTCTGCCGTGAAGTCGGGATGATTATCGGCTGATCATCGTAGAGAGGCCCAATTCTGCTGCTGGAAGCGATCTCGGCCGAGAAAGTTCTTGCTGTCTTCGTGAGATTTCCCTTGGAAGTCTGCGCTGCCCTGGGTGTATCCTCAATCTGCGTTGAGAGGCAGCGTGAGAGGCCCCTCTTAGACTTGGTCTGCAATGACGGGATGTCTGGGGAGGCCGGTCGCTTCTTCGAGGGTAACGGACATCGCCCCACGCCCTCTGCCGCAGGGGGTTTCTAGCAGAACACCAGACGGGAGAGGGTCGATCGCTAGCAGCTGACTGGATGGAATATCTGGACTCTCTGCCATGTTTTGCCCCTTGTTTGCATTGATCTATCTGCAGCACGCCTTAAGACGCAAAGATGATATTTATTAAATGCAGAATGAGATAAATTAATGCAGTAACTGCAACGTGAATTAAAAGCATTATGCAGTAGAACAACTAGGGCATATTACATGTGGATCGGAGGCAGAAAAGCGTAATCTACAAATCGTACAGATTTTTCATCAACGTAAAGCTAGCTGAACAATCAATATACGTGAATAAACAGTAGAAATAACGATAATTAATCAATACAAATAGTAAAGGATACTAGCTATACCTCTATAGTAACCTATGAGAGGTAAAACTAAGAGATTATCAAAGGATATGGTGTGTAAGGAGACACAAGGCTCTCACATCCTGCTCACTGGGCTTAAGAAGGAGAGAGTGGAGCACATGGCCAGAGGGTGGCTACACCTTTCCGGCCAGGGGAGACAAAGGGGAGCAACTTCGTGGTGAGTACCAATTAGTGATTTTATTTTGAAGGGAGCTTCAAATAAGGAGATACAAGTGTTCCACTATGTTCGCAAGAAGAAGAAGACAAGCAAAAGAGCATGAGTCAGGATAAGGAAAATAATGCCTATTGGCAAACAGTGAGTGAGTGAGATTTTAGCAATATTCCAGCAATATCACGGAAGGGTACACCAGAAATGGGCTTCACACATTGTACCCATGTGGGGAATCGAACCAAGCAGGTCTTCAGCGTGATGAGGTTCCTCCATAAATTATCTTGCCTTTATTGTTACAACACCATAGTTTAACATGGATGACCCACTCACATACATTCTACTGAGTCTGAGATTAGTGTGAGCGAGTTTAGTTTTACGCCACACTCAGCAATATTCCAGCTACATGGTGACAGTCTGTAAATAATCAAGTCTGGACCAGACAATCCAGTTATCAACGGCATGAAAATCGATGTATGCAATTGTGAACCGATAACATGTGTCAACCAAGTCAGCGAGCCTGACCACCTGATCCCGGCAGTCGCCTCTTACGACAAGCATGGGTTACTGAAGACCAAACCCTAACCCAGATCTTCACGGGTGATTCTGAGATTAACCCTGTTGTGCCAAGTACCAGTCGGGATAACAATGAGTACATCTTTTAACATCATCTGTGATGGAGCAATAGATTCAACCACTGATCTCCTACAGTCTGGGCAGGAGCTCTATCTACTACACCATGGAGTGCACGAGTGAGTTTTGTTTTTATGATGCTTTTAGCAATATTCCAGCAATATCATGACAGCGGACACAAGAAATGGAGATCCCATGAAGGGAATCGAACCAGAGTCTTTGGCGTGATGAACGAACGCTTTAACCCCACCACACCATGGAGTGAGTGAGTGAGGATGGTTTTAAGCCACTTTTAGCAATATTCTAGCAATACCAGAACACCAGAAATGGGCTTCACACATAGTGCCCATGTGGGGAATCGAAACCGGGTCTTCGGCATGACGAGTGAACGCCTTAACCAGGGATGGGCTTCACATTACACCATGGAGGTGGTCTTTATGAACAATGAGGAAATATTTGGACTCTGTATAATTCAAATTCAGGAGGGGTCATGCACATAGAGGATTGGGTTCCTGAGACCAAACAGATGATAAAATGGAAAATTGATGAAAATTGGACTGTCATTGTAAAACTGCATTAATGATTATTAAGAAATAGAGAAAATAAATCTTGGATAGCCATGCCGTGACAAATCTCAGGTACCTTTCTCACCCTTGTCTCCATGAATATTATCAACTGAAAACCAGCAAGTTCATTAACATGAGACATACGACTGCAGTGAATTAACTAACGTAGGTGAAGTAAATGTGTTGGGAATACTGTGTTACACACTGCAACAGATGTGGACAATAAAGATATCATAATATTACCACAGTACTTACTCTGTTGGGCTAGATTTACAGTGCGTGATTGGTCACAAATTAGTTGAAGTTAAGCAACATTGGGTGTGAAGAGTCCTTGGATGGGTGACCGTGTTTGGCAGCTTGACTCTAAGAGTTTCTAGGACTTCTATTCAGTCCTGCCCCACAACAATACATGTGGTCTCACCTCACGCAAGTGAGTTTGTTCAAACTTGCCTCTGTTCACCCAGCAGAAAATGGGTACCCGGTGGGATAAGTCATGTGACTATAACCTTCTAGTGCCTAACAGGCAGCTTGGGTAATATCCAGGGTAATAATGTGTTAGCGATGTGGATTTCTCTTAGTCAGAAATATCAAATTCAAGAACTTTTCATCGGACACAGGCGAATTCAAGCACTTTTCAAATCTGTGGGAACCTTGGAGTCTGCTCCAGATAAGTATGGTCCAGATATTCTAGTGACTGATATTGTGAACAGCAATGAAGTCGGGTATGACGACAGGTCATCAACCACGTCAACTAGTGAAACAGCCTGTTCCATTTCCACCAGCAATTATTGCTGCGGACAAAATCCAACCAAAATTTATACCTGAAGATAAGATCTACACAACACCATGTTCATGCTTCCTGATAACACATTAAGCAGTGCAAGGTAATAGTTCTTCAACCAAGACTTCCGACAGTTCCTAAAACATTATTAAACCATTTCCTCCAGAACACACATGTACCTGGTGATGGGACCTGGACAATGGTTCCTGTAACCATGGTAACAACAATTACTAGTACACCTACTTTGTCCATGTCCTACATAACACAATCACTCCTGCTTGAGTGCTAGACAATGGTTCCTGTAACCATGGTAACAACAATTACTAGTACACCGACTTTGTCCATGTCCTACATAACACAATCACTCCTGCTTGAGTGCTAGACAATGGTTCCTGTAACCATGGTAACAACAATTACTAGTACACCTACTTTGTCCATGTTCTGCATGATCAGTGCCTCCATGAGTTTCTTGTTGTTGTCGTCCAGATGTTTGAAGGCCTCGGACATCATTGATAATCCCTCTTGGACTGCAAGTCTTGTTTCATTGTCTTCCTAAAATACACAAGATCATTATTACACAGGTATACACATTTCAAATGTATACTTACATATATCCCATAATCTTTTAGTCTATAAATATTATATCGTGTTTACAAACAGAACCACAAGGCTCTATAGCTCTCCTGAACCTTTCTGAAATATTTTCACTATTTGATAACACTTGCAAACATAAATAACACAGTTTTGAGACAATAAACTGCATCCATATTCCATAAGGTTGGACTAAAAAGAAAAATGAAAAATCGAAACAGGCAAAAGGAACTACTGTATGTTATTTCACACACATAATACACATGACATATCACATTTCATGTCAGATGCACAACAGGCTAAATACTTTCCAAAATGGCTGCCATGATGGCCACGCTCGAAACTGGATCTGAATTCAGGACGCAGCCTTACAAGAAACCACTGCTCAAATCATCAATGCAAAGTTGCTTCATCACTGTGGTTGTAGAGGTAAAAGGTACAAGTTTAAGATTACAGGATATATTCCAAACATTCAGCTCCAATAAAAGTGAAGCAATAAAACCCTGATCTTTAATAGCTCACCTGGCAAACTGCCTCAAAGAACTTTTGAACCAGTGTGATATCCTTGGCCACTCTCTGCGGCGACCTTCGAGCAATTTTTCCAACAGCAATATAGGCTAGACTTCTCAACTTGGAATCCTAAAGGAAAGGTACATCATGAATTAGAAATATAAACTTTCTTTAATTAGAGGATTAAACATATATATATATATATATATATATACCAGCTCAGTATGTTATATACAATAGTTTAACAAAACAAGCATATCAAAAAGCCTACACAATGAAAATGCAAACAAAAAGTTACACTGAAGCAGATTAGATGTTTTATTTTATGCATTAAATAGCATATACATGGGACACTGCACATTAAACAGGGGAAATAGGCTAGAACTTTCATCTGACACAAATTAGATGGCTGGCTGAAAGGTATTAATGATCCTATCAAAACTGACACTGATACAAAGTTAGTACTATCTATGGATAGGCAGTCGCATTACGGTCTTACTTAGAAGTGTTCTGTAACACTGACAAACACTGACAACAGGTCAGACAGTTACTAACTTGAGTGAGTGAGTGAGTGAGTTTAGTTTTACAGCCGCTTTTAGCAATATTCCAGCAATATCACAGCGGGGGACACCAGACATGGGCTTCACACATTGTACCCATGTGGGGAATAGAACCCGGTCCTAAACACGACGAGCTAACGCTTTAACCACTAAGCTACCCCACCGGCATTACTACCTTCAGTTAGTAACATTAAGGACTACATATTTTTGTGATCACTACAGAAAGCCAAATCATTTAAATAATGCAGTTTCAACACATGCATATAAATAGCGCTGTTTGGTTTTTGTTCAACGTGATTAGGCAGTCTACAACTATTTACACTAGGAAATACAAGACTGCCAAATAAGCTGCAAAATGAGAAGACATTCCAGTTTTAACTAAGTCAAGTCAAACGCAGCCACTTAATGGCAAAATGATAAACACATTTATCGCATTTGATCTAACTAATGTCCTTACCCAATCCACTGAACCATTCATTATTTAGACAACTCTTAACACATATCTATCCAAGACCTTTCATTTGTAAAGAAAGCATGTCACCTGTATTTCTACAGCTGAAAAAATAAATACTTTTCAGATTATGACTTTGGAAGGAGTTGATAGAAGGAAGCTCTCTCGTAATAATAAGACATCAGTATATGGATTCACTTTCAACTGATTTAACATTTTGTACACCCTTCACAATATGCGAATAATTAACCTAATATGTCCACATCCATAGATGTGGTAGATATTAGATTAAAGATAAGGATATTGACAAAATTCAGGTCATGTTTTGAAATACTCTTCATCATCCTGAGCTAGATTTTACAAACAATGGAATATTATGACAACCAATGATTTGTATTGACTTTCAGATCAAACCATAGAGAGACGGACTGCTGTATTAACCCACCCCTCTATATACGTTTTGTAAAAAATATCCAATCATTAAACATACAGCATTAACCAACATACATTGTATATACATCCTGATTATTCCTCGAAAGAATCCAAACTCTTGGAAAGAACAGGTACCTGTCCTTCAATATGGAATATCCACCCGTGGGAATATTTCAGTCTTCAAAATGATGTAATGAATGTTACAAAAGGGTAACTTTAACATGATGTACGAAAATCTTTTTAAGTTTGCAATCAGTAACCATGTGAGTACATATAGTTGATCCTTTATCCATCAGAGAATACACAACAGAACAGGTTAAAAATGACCAACATACAACATGGCATCATTACAGCCACAAATATAGGCTGTTGTTTACTAGAATGGTCTTAAGTTGAATTGTCTCTAGTATCTGTGTTGATAAGTCCTCCCACTGGGATATAACAGTGTACAGTCTATAATGGATGGATGATGTACATGAGGAAGCTTCACATCATGCCAACACCGATCACACACGGCATGGTTTGGGTGGGCGGCGGTACCAGCAGTCTGGCAGCCAGCCAATGGCCCTAGCTGGTGGGGGGCAGGGCTACTGGACTGCCTAGCTACACCACTCTGGGGACACACACACACCTCTCAGGTACTCGGCATAACAATTTGTACATTCAAAGTTTATCTCGCAATCACGGCAAATAAATTTTAGTGTTATTTGGTGATCCATTGGAGATTATTTCAAAATTTTACTTTTACATTTCTTGTGTATATACCATGAAACACTGACTGACTGAAAGCAATATTCCAGCAAAAAGACACCAGAAATGGGCTTCACACATTGTACCCATGTACCGGGTCTGATTGTGATTCTGACAATCATGAAACAAGTTAATTATCCTTACCAATGCTTGGTAGCATAGGCATCAATCTACAATGTGTAGACTGAATGACATGTTACATTAACAATGTCAGCTAACAGTTTCACTTCTCCGATAGCCACCCGACTAATGTTTGTTCATTGTCTAATGATGCCTTCAGCGATATTCCAGCTATTATGACAGCATCTGTACAATAATCAAGTCAGACAATCCAGTGATTGATGCTGAGAAGAATGCAAGCCATCAGAATACAATGGCACACGTACAGCCAAGGTCACTGATGCTGACCACCAATCCATGTGGTTGCCTCTGCCTACAACTAGTCTGGGCTGGTAGACCTTTTCTTCACCAGAATCCCCATGGGTATGGATGATATCCACAGCTAACTATTTATCTTGACTAACAGGCAAACATCAGGTTCTGGGACCAGATCAGTTTCAAAATCTCCTGAAGACAGGGTTTCAAATTAGTATTACTCTATGTGAAATTGGGGTTTTCTGGTTTAGAAATCAAATGTTAGGTCCATTCAACTTTCCATTATTAATATTAAGGTACTGGCAAGGACTCTTCTTAGATGTTTCATTTCAAAACATGATAGAGCATCATGTCATTTTCCAGTACTTTTACCAATGATACTAAGCAATAACTTCCAGAACACATGCTCAAACACACACACACCAACGCCCGCTTAAGTCCTGCTCTTAGGTCATCATCATCTTAACCAAATCTGTTTGAATTACAGCATTTCAAGTCCCACACTGGCCTCATTGATAAAGTAGCATAGTATGGGTCAGGTTGGCATTGGATGGCTACAGCTGCTAGGCAAAACCGTCATTCATCAGGAGCTACTTGCCTGATAAACGAACTTACGATGACGGCGTTTCATCTGAAAGTAAGTCGTGGTACGGCAAACTTGTTTTAACATTTGTGCCACGAGGTAGGTAATTATATATTGTATAGACTTAACATAATCAACACACATAGATATATGGTTATGTACACAGTGAAACCTACTTAATCTGGACCCCATCTATACAGAAACTGTTTCATGTATAGCTCAGAACATCAATGGATAGGGACAATACTTACAACATACCAATGATTCACAAATCCAAACATTTTTAATGAGTGAGCGAGTTGGGTTTTACGCTGCTTTTAGCAATTTTCCAGCAATATCACAGCAGGGGACACCAGAAATGGGCTTCACACATTGTATCCATGTGGGGAATCGAACCTGGGTCTTCGTCGTGGCAACCAAACACTTTAACCACTGGGATACCCGCCCACCCAGAAATTTGTAAATGCATAAACTCATTAATTTTACAAAGAATGTTACTGTCCAGATTAATGAGATCCCACCGTGTAAACATTTCCACACTGATTCATATACATAAGAAAAAAGAAAGATCAGACTAAGTAACTACACAGGCTTTTCACACATTTAATGCAAAACAACTGATAGCATTAGTGCTGAGAAATCTACAGAAAAAGAGTGTAATAGTTATAAAACACACTGTGTTGGTTACATACAGTTCCTCTCAAAGATACAAAAGTATGAAAGATAGTAGCAAGCAATGGCAGTGTCCTGTGGCTACTGATGACAGAAAATTTCATCTGAATGAGCGTTGCTTTGAAAATGTCATCTAACCAGCAGATAATACAACATTAACCATATCCATCAACTACAAAACTGGGGTCAATTCAAGCTGTTCAAGAGTGCAAACATCTTACCCAACCCAACAAGCGGCCACAGATTTACTAATTCAGAAAAAGGTTTTTCTTGAAAGTCAAGAATCTTTGGGTGCTAAGTGTATGCTTGCTCTTAAACGCTGTACTCAGCAATGGACCAGAAAAACACTGTTTGACAATGGGGGAAATAATCCCCATTCTTGATGAACAATGGTATGACATCAACCGATGTACCGAGCCTGGCCACCAGATCAATCTGGTCGCTGCTTCCAACCAGCACATATTGGGACTACTTCTATACCAGAATCATCACACAGGTTTTGAGTTAAGCAACTGAATGCCTTTGACATGTCTGATGAGTCAAGCTGTTCATAAAGACCCAGGAATAAGCATAGTACTGCAAAACAGTCCATACGAACATAAACACTCGACCTTAGGGATATTGTTAGGGATATTGTTAGGCCATGTCAGTCCTCAGTTCCCTATTAACATGACTATGTTTCTTTTCATCTGGGGCAGATGTTGAGACTCCAATAAGAAAGTCCAAAGAGAAAACAATGTCCATTTCAACAGCTGGACACCCTGTCTGTCTACTCATTAATGATCACCATCAATTATATCCCTTTAACAAGCAAGTAATTGATAAAAAAAATTTAATCCTTGATATAAAGTATTTGAGCAGTATTTTATGAAAATGTAAGCAATTTTAAGTATCTTTTTTCAAGGCTTATCAAACATTTTCGAAAGGTGTCTCATGACACATGAAAACATCAAGTGCTACTAAGTGCCTGTTGAAACCCTGTACAACAGTGGCCACAGTAAAGAGCACAAACAACCCTCCTACAATGAGCACAGTAATGGCTACATGGAGCGTCTAGTTACATACCTCCTTGGCCTCACCAATCAGTTTCACCATTCCAGACAACAGCACGGCATCAAACATGTGGAACTTGGCCGAGTCACAGCTGCAAGGGAAATAATGACACACCACATCAATATCATATAGCAATGTATGACCACTAAGGCTGGATTCAGTTGTACCGACTCCCTGATATTTCATGGTCATAATGAAAAATATCAACACATGAACAAAATTGTGATGATCACATACTCTCTTATCCTCATCTAAACTGGATCTTTCATTAAAATACAATTTACATATTAAAAGTTTCATTTCTAATAAAATTGCCATACCTTTCATTATTGAAGGCAGGTATGTATCTATACTAAACCTCATCTATCAGAATCTAATACATCTGATATTACAAGAAATATATCCAATAATCTCAATTTGTCTCTTTCATGTTGTTCTCAAGGGATACATTTTTTGCCACTATAAACATGAAATAGTAAAAAATCTTGGATTGCTCAATTTCATTACCTTGGAAGAACTTTCTGGAAATATCATGCGTGCTTTCAATGCTTTCATGAGCAAAATAACAAAGGAAATGGACACATATTTTTACTGACACATTCAAAATACATACGTGTATGAAATGTGGTGAACTAGTTGTACTGCCATGTTCCGCAGTTTCTGGTTGGGGTTAATACCAAACAGGCAGTCAAACACAACCTAGGACATTAGAAATATGTCTTTCATATCACAAAGTAACATTAACAACATAAAATCACAGGTGAAACACAAGAATGCTGATGTTAAAACAGACTATGAATATTATCTGTGCAAACAAGGGATATGAACCCAGTGTTAGCCGATCCTGACTCAACAAAGGGATGCAACTCAACAAATAAATAGTTTCTAAAAATACTGAGCCACCTGACAAGAAAAAGTTATGGCTCATGATTTTTCATACATCATTGCCAGAAAAAATTTCCATAACTTTAACACATTCACTATGCTAATCGAGTCCTACGACTACACAGTCTGCCAGTGAAAGGAGTTAATACCTGAATACAGGAAGGGAAGGTGTTGGCTGCCTCTCGGGACTTCAGGAAGATGGGGAAAATCTTCAGTCGGATTCTTGTACATGCATGAGTACGTCTCTGTTCTGGTTTCACTGGTGCCTAGTTGAAAAAGTTGGTATGACATTCACATTCAACGTCAAGAAAATCAACACAAAGGGTGCTTATTGAAGACTAAATGAAGAGCAATGACAAAATAATTTTGATGGGAAACATTAATTGCAATGGATAGCTTTCCGTGATGCAATATAATGATCATGTTAACAAAGAAGACTGGTCTAATATATATTTAATGGCAAATAGATGTACAGAAAGCGTACAGTTAAGATGGTTTCATTTCAAGATTACGCACAATATTTTAACGACTAAACATAAGTTACATTTGATGAAATACACAGACTCTTCAATGTGCACATTCTGTGAATCTGCTCCTGAAACAATTATTCATTTATTGTGTGAATGTCGATATACCGTGAAAGTATGGAGGGAGGTATCCGATTGGCTGGATATACTGTCTGAAGGAAATATTGATTTGTCGCATGAAAATATTATCTTTGGTTTCAAAGGTAAAAACAACAACCCACTTAATCTGGTGTTTCTAATAGTGAAATACATGCTATATAAAACAAGCCCAAATAATATAAAGCCAGTTTTACAGTGCTTCAAAGGAAATACTCAATTATTACAAAGCTACCAAATATACAGCATTTTCAAATGCAAACCCATCAAAATTCTATGCCTTCTGGTCTTCCTTCCATACACTTTTGCCAATTATACCAACCTAGATGATGCAAATAAAATTTGATAAGTGCATTTGAATACAAGTACTGGTATACATATTAGCCTTTGTTAAGGATAACAGATACATTATAGCAATTTACCCTGAACATACGATGATTGCTTTTGTATTGATGTATTGATTGATTGTACTGATGGTGATGTTTTCGCTCAACGTCTGATGACTAGGATGTGTTGTATATGATGCTTTTGTACCACAACAACAAATGTACTCTGGGAAATAAAAATATTTAAAAAAAAAAAAAAAATAATGATCATGTTCAACATACAACACTATATTCTGTCAGGATAAGAATGCAATGGATAGCATACAATCAGTGTCAAACAGCAGTGGTACGTCACTGTGAAAATTACTGAAAAAAATGTTCATGTCCCAACTGGTAAAATATTTAAGTCAAAGGAAGTTAAAGACCATGCCATGATAGATCAACTGCAGTAACATAAAATAATTGGTTGTTCTGAAACATCTGTTAAGTAGTATATGGCCTTTTGATGGTCAAACCTAAATACTGACATTCTCCCACGACAATCATTAAAACAAGTCCACAAACCTGGCCCTTCATTACTACTGTCCCTTGGAAGATGGAGAACAGCTTGCTAATAGTGGCAGGAGAGTTCCAGTTGATGCTCCTGACGAAACATTAACACAATACATAAATCAGCTTGATGTAATACAACAGAATAACAATACAAACTTTGTCTAGCAAATGAATTGTGCAACACAACCCATTCATCTGTAGAGAGGATACATATATCAAACATTAAGTTTACATTTGTTTTTTTCAGAGGGAACACACACAAGGGAATATTTGAGCAATATGATGTCAGCCAATAATCTTGTGATCAATCCAGTGAAGGTTCTTGATGGCGTGTATTCATGCTGGTGGGGTATGAGGACACGCTTAGTCACTTAGTCTGAACACTTGACTGACTGAGTTTGGTTTTACACCGCTTTTAGCAATATTCCAGCAACATCATGGCGGGGAACACCAGAAATGGGCTTCACACATTGTACCCATGTGGGGATTCCAACCCGGGTCTTCAGCGTGACGAGCCAACGCTTTAACCACTAAGGCTACCCTGTTATGTTATGACCATAGCACAGGTTGATGGGGACCCATTCACACCTGAAAACTCACCTGGAGTGTTTATGTAATCTCTTATTACATATGTAAATAATAAACATATTACCCTGTGATCCTCTTAAGCTCCATGTCAGCTGAAGTTGCAACACTGTAACAAAGGAGACAGTTAAAAAAAAGGTCACATCACCAGGAATTTACCTTCAGTCCTGTATTTCAGGGTCCTGTATTTGGGGAAGAAAAGGGTCCCAGACACTTAAATATTATTATTAATACTGTTTTTGTATTGTGTATCATGATCATCACATTGTTACAGTAATTAAATTGCAAATGCTACCATAACCCGGCTAGTGGCAAACTCAGTGATAACCTATTGTTACTTGATTGGAATTTTTACAAAAAGTATTTGGACTTTTTCTGCTTCCCTGTGGATGCACTAATAAATTTTGTTGAGTCCATTGTCAAATTTTATGCGTATAGAATGTAGGAATTCACATCCTGTAAATCCCTGCATCATGATAGGTTACTAAAGAATACTCCTGAATACTTGATTTAGCACTTAGCAGAGGTACAGATAAGCTGCGTATCTGCATAAATTATGCAAATATTTATGTGAAAGCTAATTCCTATTAGGTCTATTGCATACAAGTATGCTTGAATTTTTGTAAATACTCAATAAATGTGATCTTACAGGCATACGCACAAAAAATGTCAAATCTTAGCTTGCGTACGGATGGATAAATAAAATAACTGAGGGATATTGAGAGGTTCTATTTCAGGACATGAACTTGACAACTTGCAGTCTTTCTTATCGTTTCTCATATCATGCGGCACTCAGCAATATTCCAGCTATATGGCGGCAGTCTGTAAATAATCAAGTCTGGACCAGACAATCCCATGATCAACAGCATGAACATCAATCTATGCAATTGGGATACGATGACATGTGTCAACCCAGTCAGCGAGCCTGACCACCCAATCCCATTAGTCGCTTCGTACGACAAGCATAGGTTATTGCAGATCAATTCTAACCTGGACCTTCACGGGTTAAAATTAATGGAAAATGGCAAAATACCCAATTGAGTTTGAGTGAGGTGGGTACAATTTATTTGGTTACTCAAAGGAAAATTAGGATACTCAATTGAGATGAACACAAGCTAGTACATAACTCAATGACCCAAAAAGTTATCTGTAGCTCTGACTTAGTGTGTGAATAGTAGTTAATTCTGTTTAGACATAAATTCCTGAAGATAATACTGAGATTTTATGAGTGCTTCCGATGGAGCTGATCTCACACCAGAGATGTAAATCTGTTATGAATGTTATATCTATACCCATGATACATTGTGCCCAAGAGTATCTGCAGTAAGATGTAAGCAGAAGCTTCTAAACTAGGTATGCATACACTTTATTTGCAGAGGTGCTATAGATTTCATTTGGCACTATTTTCATTAAACTTTCCAAGGGCTAAGGACAGAGTTGTGTGAAACCAACCTAACCCTAACACAACTAACCAAAGGATCACAAATATGTTTTATGTACATGGGATGATGTAAATATTACATATGCAGGATAATTCTTGAGATACATTTCATTTTATGATACTAGTGGGTGGGAAACCAGACTGCATAATCACACATCACCTTAAAGAAGTGAAAACACAATCAAACCACACATGGATCTACATGGATATTTATACCTATTTTAACATCAACATTTCTACAGTATATTTATTGACAAGGACTGTTGAGATATACTCTACCTATGCCTGGTGTCTGAAGAAGCAACAACATAATGTACAACAATGTCAGCATCGGGTATGACGTCTGCCCCAAGAAACTTGAGGATGCCAAGCTTGGCTTGTTCAAGAGCCTCAGGTGCAAGAGGGTCATCTCCTGTCACACGTTTGAAGGCTTGCTCACACAGCCCTGGGGGAGGAGCAACAGAGGAGCGACCAGCAGGGGCTGTAGCAGGGCGACCTGACCCACCCTGTGCCTGGGCAGCCGATTTCTCTATGGCAGCAAGGTGAGAACTGAAGAAATGGAAACAGACGTTAAAGAATGTCATCTACAAGAACAAACATGGTCATTTGGATGATCAAGGCAACAACTTGCAACAAAAGGAACATCATATTCAGCTAACACCATCCTGCATTTTTAAATGCATTGTTACGTTAACCTGACACAGAAATCCAAATTTTAACCAGTAAGTAAGTGAATGCTACTTGCAATATTCCAGTTATATCACATTCAAGATGTCTTAAGATACAAGCCATGCCAGAATATAGTGCTAGCGTGGTAGACATGTCATCTCATTCACAAGGATTCCAACACAATTGGCAGAATTATTGTTGTTGGAAATCGTATTGGGGAGCATTGGGTACATGAAGTTAATAATTACTTCTGGTTTACATGGGCGACATGATACTCTTGACAGTCAATTCCCCACATCGATACAACGTGTGAAGCCCATTTCTGATGTCCCCCGCCATAATATTGCTGGCATATTGCTAAAAGTGGCATAAATCCACACACATGCACTCCCTCTTAGTTTAACTTTCAGTCACCATGACTGTCACCTAAGTAAGGGAATTGTCTCAAAAAGTCAGACCAAATAATGCTAACTTAGTATCCGTGTCCAAAATTTTTACCCGTCCAAAAGTTTTACCCATCCAAGAACTAGCTGAGTAGACTTCATCTACCCAATACTCCCCAATACGATTTCCAACAACAAATAATTCTGCCAATTGTGTTAGAATCTGTGAGAATCAGCTGACATGTCTACCACGCTAGCACTATCTTCTGGCATGGCTAGTATCTACTCGGTACTTCTCCTACTTGTAGGGCAGCAGCAGTACATCCATCATGAAGTCCAGGAGGAGCTTGAGCACGGCCGGGCGCTCAAAGAAGCTGAAGGTTGTGCGGCGCTGAGCCATGTTCTGCTGTAGTTTGAGATGTAGGAGGGCTGGGATGAGCAGCTGGAGCAGGCTGCAAGTCAACATACGCCACTAGTACAACAGTCCTTAGTCAGACACAAAAACATTGATGTCTACATACCACAATACTTTGTCCATGTACACAACATGGGAGAAAATATGTGTGAAGTATTCTAATTTTGGAAGGGCCAGTTTTACTTTTAAACACTTTTTATTGTTATAAGAGAACATAAACCTACGATGAGTCTGACTAAATATCTACATACACTACTCAAGCTTGATTATGAAAAACCAGATGCGTGAGTGAGTGAGTGAGTGTGTGCGTGAGTTAAGATTTACAGTCACATTGGCAATATTTCATCCATATTGTGACTAAAACAAGTTTTAATTCACCATTAATACATGTAAATTATAAAAACCTGTCAACAAAGGACAGTAAAACCATCTAGAATATCACAGTATCAAGAAATAAAACTAGCATAAAACTATGGTAGATCACCACACTAAGGACCATGGGGACTTACTGACTTACTGAGTTTAGTTTTACGCCGCTTTTAGCAATATTCCAGCAATATCACGGTGGGGGACACCAGAAATGGGCTTAACACATTGTGCCCATGTGGGGAATCGAACCCGGGTCTTCGGCGTGACGAGCCAACGCTTTAACCACTAGGCTACCCCACCGCCCCCCATGGGGACTTACACTGTCTTTGCTACCTGCATGGACCCTAGTTGGATTTACACCATTCCTTGTAGACAAATCTAGCCATATGTTAAAACAAGAGTCATCAGAAGATGACAAATCACCCCCGGACCCCATAGACTTGAAAGAACAAATCAACTGACAGTTACCTAAAGTCCAATTACTTGTTTTTTTCAAAGGAATTGTTTCCATGGAAATCATGAAAAATAAAAATTCCAAAAATCTGTAAATAGCAAAAGGCACCACTTTGGGATCTGCCTCACATATCTGCCAAGTTTTGCTGAAAGACATTAAGAAGTTTTTGAGTTGTGCTCCGGAAACGAAGTCCACCCCTCACTTTTGAGACTAAGTCTGAATCGTTTCCATGGAAACCGGGAAAATAATAACTCACAAAAATCTGCAAATAGCAAAAGGCACCACTTTAGGTTCTCTTTGATATATCTACAAAGTTTTGCAGAAAAATATTGAACAGTTTGTGAATTGTGCTCTGAAAACGAAGGCCACCCCTCCCTTTTGATATTAAGTTCAACTCATTCCCATGGAAACCAAGAAAAATAAAATGACAAATATCTGCAAACTGCAAAAGGCACCACTGTAGGTTCTGTTTGATATATCTACCAAGTTTTGTTGAAAAATATGGAATGTTTTTTGAGTTGTGCTCCGGGTATCACCACCAAAAGTTGTAACGAACTGATGGATATATATAAACTGTCAGATGGTCTTAGTATAGCATACTATAGTTAAAAAAAACAAATATTAGTGACTCCGAGTTACTTTTAACAATAGTTTTCTGTTATATTTGAGGTGTTTATCAGACTGAAGACCATACATTTGTGAAACAATCCATATGAATAACGAATGAAGGACATCGAGTATTGTATTGCGACAGCACGCCAATGAATCCCAGGCCTAATCATGCTTATTACCCATCATGCACATTTTCAAAACATACAGAGGATGTTACATGAGTGCCCATTTCATACTATGTTTAATGGCACGAGTGCCTAAATGTTGGTATTTCCCAAGTGAGAATGAGGGTTATCTTACCTCACACATAAAAGACGCTTTCTGATTGGCTGAGCGCTCTTCTATTATTTTCAATGTACCCCGCTTACAAGCTTACAAGTAACATTTCAATGTACACTGCTGTCAATGGCAACTCATTTGGTACTCCGTGGTAGTAATTCTTTATCTCAAATAACATTGAATTACGTATGATGTACGGAAATTACCGATGTTTTGCGAATGCAAATTGATGGAAGGGAGATAACTCTAAATCTGTTTTTTCTTGTCAGCAAAATCTAGTGATGGCTACAAAAAGATTTGTACCCGTGCTTCAAACAATTCAAGGTGTTCGATAAGATAAATACGTTGTTCACTGGTCCCTCGGGGCCCATGGGTTGATGTACCCATGCTCAGGGAACATAAACAAACATCGAGGGTACATCAACCCATGCCCCCCTCGTGACCTGTGAACAACTTATAATGTACGGATATTTAGGCACAAGTGTCGTGAATCATAGTATGATATGGGCACGAATGTAATATTCTGTTTATTACCGAAGTCGTCAAATTGAGGAAACTACACCCAAATCTACTTTCAAACATAGGCTGGCTACCCACCGTCGCTGTATGTAGAACGCAACGTCACAGAAGAAATGTGACGTCATAGCATTGTTCATGACGTCATGTCACCATGACAAAGTGATATTTTGGCCTAGCGCATCGTATGAAAAATATTAACCCCGATATTTTCGCCTTCATAGGTAATAAACATACATCTTAACCAAATCAAAGCACTCCCACCCATTTTACTGGATCACAACATAGTTAATGTAAGTAGATTGTGAAACACCTTTACAGTCAACGCTCCACAAGACAGTGACATAAGTCCCGTCTGACATAAGACCATCATGGTGGCTTCAGTCAGCTCTTCATATCATTACCTGTCTTGATGCTGCTGCGGCCGACCTTCCAGACAGTTGACCAGCTGTGGAACAAACTCGGCCTGTTTCTCGGCACTGAGTCTTGGATATCCCATCTTGATATACAGGATTGTGAAGTTCTGCAAAAGGTAATAAACATGTCTTTATTCCTCAAACATTTCCTTTCTGTTCTTATTGATAATTTGGTCAATGTCATGTATAGAAGACCTGGAAATTCTTTTTAAACACATACATGATTTCAATGAGAACAATAGTAAAACTACCATCGACAATTTCTGTCAAATTTACATGTATAACATCCGGGTTGAGTTTGCTTCTTGCTAAGCAACTGCTCCTTCACTTTCAAATCCTTGCAAATCAGTGGATTTTCAATTTCTTGTACAAAATCTGTTATTCATGTGGTTGACAAAGACACTGAAGCACTTGTCAGTGCTTCGTTGGTTCCTTGCCTTTTTTCCATGTGAATACCACAATGTGCAAAACTCACTGACTGATCACTGAGACAAAATACATATTTTTCCTTATCCTGACTCATGCTATATGCTTATCTCCCTTTTCCTTCGAACGGTACGTGGAAACTTGAATCCTTTTGCTCCCTGAAGCAAACATAAAATCACTCACCCAGTTGGGCACCTCCCATCAGTTTCCGCCACAGCGTCCCACGTGACCAATACAGAGGCATGCTCTTGTCACTCTCTCCTTCATCACTCAACCGTCCGCTGGCGGATACCTTGGGTCCCTTCGCGGCTTATATCCTTTCTAATCTTTAGGCTTTTGATCTTAATCATGCCGTGAATGTATATTTAGGCATTATACCATCTAATTGTTGAATTATTCATGTCTTAAATTTACGTTTACTGCGATTTCAGTTGACTGATTTGTATGCTGCATGTCAGCAATGTAGAGTGCATACATCGGCGGCTGACCCTCACCCGTCCTGCCGGGTTTCTTCATGTTCATTGGATTCACGTTGTATATATTGCACACATTTGTCTACAATTGAGTTTAATAAATATTTATTGTGTTGTTTACACAAAAAGTAAGACAGGGTACGGCGTGATAACAAGATCTGCGCTGTGAGGATTGGTTCTCAGTCATCAAATTGTGAGTTGCTGCCTTTATTTTCTCATAATACAAGCCATAATATGTCATCTGCCAATACATCTATTAATGTATCGGAGTCACCAGAAGTTAACTGGCCTATTTCTAACCAAATAGCGTCTCAGTCTCTGTCTAAAAGGAAATCACCTACGAGAAAGGACTCCGAGGAGCAGTCTTCTAAAAAGAAGTCTACGTCGTCGCAGACAAAGAAGTCGAGGCCATCGACGTCTAGATCATCGTTGAGATCTTCTAGATCTGCCGTTCCGACTACAGAAGTTAGGATGTTTACCAACAACCTAGTGCCTGCTGACGAAGTTCTCAACTTGTCTATGTCGCAGCCTCCATCCTTGGAGCCGAAGATATTTATACGGCCTCAACTATTGTCTCCAGTTACGACGACAGGGTTTGCTAACCCTACGATGCAGTCCAGTCACACATCAATGTTGAGATAACCTACTCCTCACAGTTCATCTACGATGATGTCAGTGTTAGCGAACCCTCAGACCATTCGGCAGCCTACGTCTACGCAGACCACCACAGTGTTCGTGAACCCACAGATCAACAGGCAGCTTTTATCAACACAGACTTCATCACCGATGTCATCCAGCCAGGTTTGCGATCCTCTTGAGATTATACCTCATCATCAAGCAACTACACAGGCGTTTAATCCAGATGATTTTGTGGATAATATTACCAGTAAAGTTATCCAGGCTGTGGAACGTCGACTCAACTCTGAGCGCTAATTACCGGAACCACGCCCATCTACAGGGTTCGCGAACCCTACAGCAGAAGTTGTTCCAATTACGGATGATGAACCTCAGTATGAATCGGACTCCTATATCTACAATGATGTGAAGATTGTATCATGGATTGCTGATGGTTTGCCTGTTTCCTCGCCTACCCGAGACTCCAACCCTGCGGATACTTATTGTATTCAAGATAATGACTTTGATTCTATCACCATCCCACCGATGCAACCGATATCTCAGGTACCAGAAAATCTCAAAGCAGCTTTTGCAAAAGCTACTACATACACATACACCATCCTTCATCGCACGAAAGTTCCCTCTACACAATATGGAACCATTTCTCAAGGCAACGGAGATTGACGATGACTTTTCCGCGTTTAGCGACTCCAAGTCACGTAGTTATTGTGCAGAGGATCGCAAGCTAGCGCAACTTGACACTATAACCAGAAGGGCCTTCCTTTGGATTGGTAAGGTCATGGGCAATCAATGATGCGATGATTCAGACATTTGAGGAGCCGCAGACGGAACAAGAACGTATGATTTTGTCAGTATTGATAACTCAACAAAATGATCAAGAATTTTATCTCTGATCACTTGGCATCCACGTCAGCGGGGACCACACTACTACGTCGTCAAGGTCTCCTATCAGCGTGTTCATGGACGGATTTATACACGAAACCCTTACTAGGCGGCGCAAACTTTGTTTGATGGTGGAATTAGACAGATGTCTAGAGAGGTATCTCAAGACTAGAAGGATCAGATGATAATCAAGTCTATGCAGACCATGACTAGTTCATGACTAGGCAATCATCTAACCGTGACCAGTTCCGATCAAGATTTTCGGGAATACAGAAGGGCAAAGAAAAGAAATATCCTACAACTAAAGGTGGCAAGTCGTCGTCTTTTCGCCAGTCGTCTGATAACTTCAGGGGAAGCTCCAGCAGAGGACGTTCCTATAGATACTCCAGGGCATCACGAAGATGAAGATCAGGTTCGGAACGGTTGGTCTGTTCCACCCCAATCGTTCACGTAAAACCGTCGACAGTGGGTGGACGTCTCAGCAGTTACTGGGAAAATTGGAGAATGTTGGGAGACGATTATGTGACAGAGATTTTACGAGAGGGATACAACATTCAGCTCAAGGCAACATCTCCGCTTACTATCAACCCTCAAGTGCATCGTTATCCCGAGCCACAATTCAGCTAGCTAAAGGAAGCCATCGACTCTTTACTAATAAAGAATGCGGTAGAAATCTTACATCAACACCATCTCACGCCAGACTACTATTCTCCAATCTTCCTAGTACCGAAAAAGAACTCCAGGGAAAAGTTCTGACTGATATGAAACAATTCAACCTAGATTATCTACTGAAACCAGACAAGCTCAAGATGTTGCACTTGCCTCAACTACGTCGGCTCATCAGACCCAATGATTATTTAGTCAGCATAGATCTACAAGACGCTTATCTGCATATACCGATACATCCAGCGTCCAGAAAGTACTTACGATTCCTGTTTCAACGTTAACATTACCAATGGAGGTTACTCCCCTTTGGAATTTCGTTGGCCCCGTGGCTATTACACATGTAACCAAGCCAATTGTCGCCTATCTGCATCAGCAGGGACTTCGCAGTGCCTTTTATCTAGACGACGGAATCCAAGCACATCAATCAGCAGATCAACTCAGACGTCAACTACAGTTCATGATCGATCTACTTACACAGTTAGGCTGGCTGGTGAATCTATTAAAGTCAGAACTGGAGCCATCACAAGACATACAGTTTCTAGGAATCAGATTCCAGACTACACTGAACTGCATCACCGTTCTGGAAGATCGATGGGCGAACATACAAGCGTGTCTTCCAGACACACTCAACTACCCTCTACCAATAAGGAAGTGACAGTGTCTACTAGTCCTCCTGACGTCAGCACAAGCGCTCACATGCAGAGGAAGGTTACAGTTGAGACCATTACAACGATTTCTCAAGCCTCATCTCTTCAGTCTGCAGAGTATTGCCATACCTCCACATAAAAAATTGTACCTACTATGGTGGACAGACAAACTGAATGTCTGCAGCAGAACTTATTTACAAGAGCCGGCCTGCAACCTTCATCTCTTTGTGGATGCATCACGACAGGGATGGGGAGGGCATTGCAACAAGGACAAGGCAGCAGGGAGTTGGTCGCAACAGGAGAGAAGATAACACATAAATCAGTTGGAATTCAAGGCGGTTATAAACGCAATTCAACATTGGGCTCAGCTACTATCAAATCAGTGTCTCATGATTCACACAGACAACTCGACAGTAGCCTTCTATATAAATCTACAAGGCTCAACACGGTCGGCACCTCTACTAGAACTAACGTTCCAGCTATTCCTCTTAGCAGACAACCTCAACCTGTGGCTAAAGGCTTGTCACATACCGGGAGCAAAGAACGTGTTAGCCGACGCCATATCCAGACCACACCATCCATCATCCACAGAGTGGATGTTACACCCGGAGGCATTCCAACTACTGATAGCAGACCAAGGCCGTCCTCTCATCATATTTGCGACACGGTTCAATCACCAAGTGACAACGTATGTCTCACCAGTACCAGATCCTCAAGCATGGGCTCTCAACGCACTGTCAATCCCATGGGAAGGACTAAACGCATATGTGTTTTCGCTGCCGATCCTGTTACCACAAGTTCTGCAAAAAAACTGGTTTCCAGACCTAATACAGCTCATAGGAGAACCAACAATGCGCCTACCAGACTGGCCGAATCTACTGATTCATCCACACACACGACAGCACCACGGCAATCCAACAGGATTCCAACTTCACGTGTGGACCATATTAAGCACTGCTTGAAGAAAAGAGGTTACTCCTCGAGAGCAGCTAAAGCAGTCACAAAGGCCGTAAGACCGTTCAACTAGGAACTTCTACGATGATAAATGGAAAAGTTTTGACCAGTTTGCTACGCAGAAAGGATTCTCAGCGTTTAAGGCCTCGCATCCTCAAGTAGCAGATTATTTATGTCATCTGAGGGCTACTAGACACCTTAAGGGATCTACTCTCTCGACACACTTGACAGCAATCAGCTCAGTGATTACCAGACTCGGGAACTAAACTCAACAAAGTTCCAGAACCCGTCGCTTTATTGAGATCGTTCAAGTTGGAAGATCAACAACAGAGATTCCGAGCACCCGTCTGCGATCTCAACGTTGTGCTGCAACACTTGACCAGTGATGCGTAAGAACCACTAAGAAAAGACATACAACTTTTGAGCGACTAACACAAAAGACGTTATTTCGCCTCGCACTGGGTACAGCGGCAAGAATGTCGGAAATACACGCCGTAGATTTCGTACGAACTAGGTTCGACAATGGACAACATGCTGCAGTCCACTTAGGACTTAGATGGGATTTTATAGCGAAAAATCAACTACCAGGTCAGCCAGATAGACAATTTCATGTCACAGCATTATCTACAATATTGGGACCCGACGATACACAAGACCTGTCATTGTGTCCAGTCAGAGCGCTGAAAATATACCTGGAGAAAACTACTACTACGAGGAGAAAGTTCAAGCGTCATTTCACCCGCTATCACCCGCCACGTCTATTGAAGTGTCACAAACTACAATCTCGTTTTGGATTAGAGCTGTTGTTACAGAGCAGCAGGGCTATGCCGCCAACAGCATCAAACCCCCATGAGATCAGAGCGTTAGCATCAACACTCGCACCACATGCGAACTGTTCATTATCATCGATAATGGAGGGCTGCTTTTGGAGATCGGACACAGTATTTGTGAATCATTATCTGAGGGATATCCCTATACAAGATATATCCGGGAAACACCAGTTCGGACCTCTTGTAGTAGCGCAACAACTCACGATTCCTGTCAGACAATGAGAAACTCACCTGTATCACGATGACTTGTAGACGCCGATTAGGCAGAGAAGTCTATGTGACACTGTCTTATGCGATAAGTCAGTAAATATGTGATATAGACTCAGTTATGGTAACGTTCTTACCTTAGCATATGAGTCGTTGCAGATAACTAGATATTTTAAAACTAGTTATTTACTCCACTAATTCTAAAAATTACTGAGGTATATTTATTCAGAAATAGGTGGTCCCCCGATTTCTTCAAAATTCAACACGATGAAAGCCTTAAGAAGAGCTCCCAGGGGTATAACAGCAAACGCTATATTGACTATTCAGTCACAGGGATTCAGGGAACATGGCTGACCCACCACCTGTTTCCGTTGGATTCCTTAAGCATACAGCATGAGTCAGGATAAGGAAAAATATGTAATTTTATGATAAAATTACTATTTTATACTTATCCTGACTCATGATCTGAAGGGCCCTCCCAACCGTCCCCTCTCAGCACTTCGGATCTCCCTGTAGGTTCGAGTGCAGGCTCAATTCAGGAGAGAGTGACAAGAGCATGCCTCTGTGTTGGTCACGTGGGACGCAGTGGCAGGAAACTGAGAGGAGGTGCCCAACTGAGAGTGATTTTACGTTTGCTTCAGGGAGCAAAAGGATTCAAGTTTCCACGTACCGTTCGAAGGGAAAGGGAGATAACCATATAGCATGATACTTATGAGGATAAGTATAAAATGTCGATTTTATCATAAAAAATTACATTTTTCAGACATAACTTAATATATATACTGTCAATGAAATCACTTAAACTTAATCTTATAATCTGACTAAAACTTTCCAAAATCATGATACTGATAATAATGATAATATGAAGACAAATTAATTACATAGTATATTGTCTCAGAATAAAAATGTACAACAGAAACCAAGGTTATCGGTACCGAAAACACTTAGGGCAAGTAGATAATATGGTACTTAATGATCAGCATCATCAGAGTACCAGGTTCTAACCTATAAACCCGTGAATATCCGGGTTTGAATTGATCTTCAGTAACCCATGCTTGTCGTATAAGACGACTAACGGGATCAGGTGGTCAGGCTCGTTGACTTGCTTGACAAATGTCATCGTTTCCCAATTGAGTAGATCGATTCTTGTGCTGTTGATCATGAGATTGTCTGGTCCAGACTTATTTACAGACGGTCGCCACATAGCTGGAATACTGCTGAGTGTGGCGTAAAACTAAACTCACTCACTCTAACCTATAAGTTGTTCACTGGTTTCGAGGGGCATCGGTTGATGGTCTTTCTACGTTTATGTTAAAAAAACGAAACAACAGCTGAACTGACCGTGAGGAATGGCGTGGCCTTGGGATCCTGATACTGTGTGAGGAGTGGCTCAACTGGAAGCTGGACTTTGGGACGACTCTTCAGTCTCTTGTTTATGTGTACTAGCAATTCCATAACCTGAAAAACCAAACAATAGCATATGTAGGAAAGTCTTCAAAATAACAGATTTGGCCTTTATGAATTCTTACACAATGTTTTATTCAAGAGATACTCAATATATTAAAAACAAAAATTCAGAGTGTGATTGTATTCAGACATGGATCCTGTTGTTATTCATTTGTAACTTAAATATAGTAAAATTATAATGCAAATAATCAAACCTAATTTTTGTTTCACCAATTAGGCATTACTTGTAACAGAATCACAAAATAACATTTGATTTTAAATTAACTAAGCTATATATTGTGCTGATATGTAACAAGCCAGTATCTTGGCAACAGATATATTCTTATTATCTCAAACAACATCATTAATTCTTTGAGAGTTTTTGCAACATTAGCACTATTATAGGGTTCGTCCAGATTAACAACCATCAGATGATCATGAAAATCATGAAAACAATACAACATCTATTGAAAAATACTCTGCATACAAATGGCATATAAAATTCAACTTGAATGTTGGTTCAGCATGATCAGGAGAGCTAAAAATAGTCTTCATCTCTGGACACTGACACAAACTGTATGTGTCCAGTCTACTGGCCCTATTCTTCAAATTAGATTCAATATCAAGAATATATAGCATACCATACCTTTTTCCTGATGCCTTCTTCTGTACTGTTCAGTTTGATGAGGACGGGAGCAAGGAACTTCCCAAGAGCAGTCTCCAGCTGTTCATCTGTCTCAGCTGATCCGATTCTCAGAAACACACGCTCAATCAGAGCTGCAGCAGAATCACATATTTCTGATGTATAACATATGATGACAACAATATTGGGAGAACAGCATATTAATACAATTTGAAAACACAATGAACTTTTAAATTCTTTGTGAGTAAATGAGTTTAGTTTTACGCCACACTCAGCAATATTCCAGCTATATGGCGGCGGTATGTAAATAGTCAAGTCTGGACCAGACAATCCAGTGATCAACATCACGAGCATTGATCTACGCAATTGGGATACAACGACATGTGTCAACCAAGTCAGCAAGCCTGACCACCCCAACCCGTTAGTCACCTCTTACAACAAGCATGGGTTACTGAAGATCAATTCTAACCCGGATCTTCACGGGTAAATTCTTTGTACTGCAGTGACAAACCAAACAAACACATAAAAAATTACCTCAACTCATCATTTTGTTTTGTTTTTCTGACAAAAATTTAAATCTGTATAAATGGTCTGATAAAAGCATTTGAGTATTCTTCAAGAAATACATTGATCTGTCCATCTGCAGAGTATGTTAGTGAATAACTTTGAAAAAAGTGTTCGGAACTTTGTGTTAGATTAAAATAAACTGAAGCAACAGGAAGACATCCTTACTTCATTGTGATTGTAACAAAGCAGAATTGTAGAACTGTCATAAGTGTGTGTTAATGGTTAAGAGTTATTTTCATCTTGCATAACACTGTTTTGTGGAACATGGAACCTGAACCGATTTCCTTAAAGAATTGTTATGGGCTAAGAGTGCAACTATTGAAAGTCTCTTAAAGTAAGTTAAAGTATCATTATGTATTTCAGATTATCAGACACTGAAGAAACATTCATTGTTATCTTTCTAATCACTTGAACGACTCTACAACATTAAACTCATGAATGATTACTTTATCCTAAACACAAGCCATCATTTAAGAATTTTCAATTTCTGTGTAACACAACACCCTTGTTTTATCCTGAATCAGTACTGCTGCCTGAAAACGTTTGATGTCCAAATCCCCATGATCCGACGATAATAATAATTCCAATAAACAAGGCAGACACACTAAATCATTTTGTAAGAAAAAGGTGCATAATTCAAAAGATGTAAAGTATGTGGCTCTTACGCTTGAACAATAGATAATATATAGGTATCCTATTGGCCATGTTCAATGTGTGTGTTGGTGAGTGGGGCTGAACACCCCTGTAGGCTTCATTATCCCGGCATGTATAGATATGTGAACGTCCCAAGTTTGGTAAGGGTTCTGCCCGTAACATGCGTTTAAAATGTATTCTGTTTATTGGGATTATTTCGAGGGGTTAGGGTTAGGTTTAGGCTTTTTATAAAACCCATAGGCATATATTCGTAGGCATAGACTGATTTTAAAAAAATGCTGGGGCGGAAATCTTTCCCAAATTATGTGTATTAAGAAACGGTTTTCAGTAAAGGTATCGATATCATCATACGACTGACATTGTGTCATCTGAGAGACGTAAACACCTCCCTTCTACAAAATGACTTTCATGCGTTGTAGATTGTCATGATCCAATTTGCGTAGTTGCTATTACGTCAAGGACAACATTAACAAAACGGACAGGTGAGAAAAAATTATCAACTGAGTCAAAAACAGAAGTCACACCGTGTTCATCTTGGCTGGCTTGTTGCCCTGCCATTTTTTTGTATTTCCAATCAGCACTTCATCCACTTCTTGCGAAAATCGTTTGTCACTGCAGCGTGTTGCATAGGTTGATACTAAACTCAGGAATGGAAATTATCTGGAAATTATATAAATATCTCATAATTTGTACACTCACTAGCAAACATCAGACGTATTTATTGGTGCATAAAGGTCTCTGTGTTGAATTAACTTAACAATAACTTCATAATCCGAAACATATATTGATATAATTTCCAGCTCCAGTTAATGAAATCCAAAGACTAAGATAAAAGATATTCCAAAGATATAAAGAGTATGTTATCTTCTTCCAAATTGTATCGATCTCGTAGAAAAAACTATCTATTTAGTATTTACACCACAAATTGTTTGCCTTCGATTTGCATTAAATACTAAATTATTGCAAAGTGCAAAGTTTCAAATAGCTGCTAAATCAATATAATGGCATCAGTGAGATGTTTTTTCAAACAGTTTAATATGCAGCATTCAAATTTTGGTGAAAATTGATATATATTCAAATCACGATGTTTTGTCACGTCACAGATTCATGTATGTACAAGATGTGTTACTCGTTCCGGTGCATGTTGTGCACATCAGGCATCTTGAGGGTGTCCCTTTTCGTAAAAGATTCCTAAATGAATTTAGTACTTTTAGAAAGCCCATTGATGGTAAGTCGCACAATTATGAGTTGGACGCCTTTTTAGAGTATGTGATTATTTTAATAGTATAAGAGGCCCGTATAAGACAACCACTTTATAAGTTTCAGGATTTCATGATAGGCTCCCACAAAAATGACAAAAGAACAAAAAGCAAACAGACACTTTGTCTTTGCGACAGTCGTAAACCGTTAGACAGGAAGCGCGTGAGTTTGTTTTGATTTCGACTTTGACAGTTCATTGAGTAGAAGTCTGTATCTGGTCAGACGGCAACAGAGCCAGTTACTATAAAAGCATAAAAAGATGAATCCGTCAAATATGCAGCAGATGAGGAATAGATCTCCGAGCCCTTTTGGCAGACGACCGCATAGTCACAGCCATACAGGATCCCCTAAAGTAGGCGGAAGGGAAAAGAGCTCTTCAAATTCAATGGATCATCATCACCGTCATGGACACCACCACCACGACAGGTCCAGACCTAGAGTCAAATCAATGAATCTGGGCCAAAGAAATGGTGAGTTGGGTACAATATTCTATCTCGCACACTTTTCTGCGAAATTTAAAAATGCTATTTTTAAATCGTCTCGGATTACATAAGTTTTCTCATCTCATACTATTGCATTGAAAAGACCTGTCTGCAGAGGTTTGGGTGGATTACAATGTCAAGCTGGATGTGTGTCATCATACCCTGACAAGATGGGGTAATGCTCACGCCAAAGTAGCCTTGAGCGGCCATTTCAGTTCCTTCTGTCCAGGGGGCGGTGGGGTAGCCTAGTGGTTAAAGCGTTGGCTCGTCACGCCGAAGACCCGGGTTCGAATCCCCACATGGGTACAATGAGTGAAGCCCATTTCTGGTGTCCCCCGCCGTGATATTGCTGGAATATTGCTAAAAGCGGCGTAAAACCAAACTCAGTCAGTCAGTCCTTCTGTCCAGGGGTGGTGGGGTAGCCTACTGCCTAGTGGTTATAGCGTTCGCTCATCATGTCAATTCCCCACATGGGTACAATGTGTGATGCCCATTTAGGGTGTCCCCTGTCGTGATATTGCTGGAATATTGTTAAAAGTGGCGTAAAACCCAACTGACTCACTCACTCCCATCCCTCATGACCCAGTACATCGCAGCCAAGAACAAAATATTTCCTGTAGGCTTTTGACTGAAAAGTTTCTTTTCCTTAACTCCCAAATCATTTCCCTCTGTCTATGCATGCACCTGTCATAATTTTATGATATAACCATACATTTATGTTTCAATAATGGTATAACTAAAGAAGTATCTTTGGAGCAAACAAAAGGATTATCCCTTTTCCAACTATACTTGTTATGAAGGCTGAATAAATTGATTGGATTAGGGCTGTAACGATTCACTCACATAATCAGTGAACTGAACCATATCAATGCATGAATTCAATTCGTTATTCACGATCACTAGAATCAAATAGTCATGAATATCCTAAAAATGTGTGTTTTTACTTGAATTTGGTGAATTTATCAAAGTGAGATATGCAAAATGGAAAAAATCTAAAGAAGACTGGAGAGCAGTCAATACTCTTTATGATACAAAGGATAATTGACGAACACAATCTGAATAGGATTCATGGAATGGTGGTCTCAGTCGCAATGCTGGGTCATGTCTTGACTGTACGACCCTATTGACTAAAGCCAAAATAGTGTACACTGTCAATCAGTGTCATGTTTACCAGGCGCACATATTCACACACTAGTTTTGTCAAGATTGACATTATGAGATTAAGAAGGCATTGATAAACAGGACAGTTCTTATAGGAGAGTTAGTACAATGCAAAGGTACTAATCAAAATGCCCACACATACATGCCCAAACGAACATGGATAGATTTTTTTTCCTTTAAATGACTACAGTCAGACTTGTATATCCGAACTTCAGATATCCGAATACCTCGGTTTCCGAACATTCTTCACAAAAAAACGAAATTTTCTAGTTACAATTTACCTCGTATATCCGAATGTTCGGTTTCCGTATCCGAACGGTCAATTTTGGTAACAAAACAGCAAAATATGTACAAATTTGCCTCGTATATCCGAACACCAAGGTTGTCGTCGGTAAGATGTCTGATGTTTACCGTTCCTCAACAGTGCTCACTGCATTGACCTTTGATCAATCCTATATCAAAACCTAAGGTCTGTTGTCGGCGAGGTATCAAAACACGAAGTCTATCATGTCTACCGCTTGTCAAAACAGTTTGCTGGCTGCTAGTTAATTCATTGGTTATTGAATATTTATCACAGGGCGTGTAGGTTAATTAGAGAAGAAACAGTTAAAGTTTGACATTGAGTTGACACTGATTGGAATCGTTGATAGAGTAAGCATAAATAAAGACGGAGGTGTCAGTCGTTGTGCATTTGAGCAAGATGGCTAGTACTGCTAAACGTAAACGTTCTGCCATTATGTTTTGATAGCAATTTCAATCCTGAGATATATGCTAGATATAGAAACAACACAAAGGCGTGGATGACAACAGAGCTGTTTCCTGCTTGGCTGCTGTCTTTTGATCGACAGATGAGGTCACGTGGAAGGCGGGTCATTTTGCTTGTTGACAATGCGGCTAGTCACAACTGTAAAAATGTAGCCGATGTAATTTATGTTATGTTATGCAAGATGTTATGTTAAATAAAGATGTAGTTATGTTTTAATGTTATTTTTAGTTTACGTGTAGCCGACCGCATAGGTCCTGATTCAGATATCCAAATGATTCATTTGTCCGAACAATTCAATAAAACCCGAAATGTGCGGATAAACGAGGTCTGACTGTATATGATTAGTTTGTCCATCTTAAGTGTCAGTTCTCATTTGTATCTGTGCTACATTTGCTATAATCATTTTATGAGATTATCACCCTTAATCTCTCTTCTGCGCCGCTGGAGTAGCCTAGTTGTTAAAGAGTCCGCTGGTCACGTTGAAGACCCGGGTTCAATTCCCCATGTGGGTACAATGTGTGAAGCCCATTTCTGGTGTCCCCCACCGTGATGTTGCTGGAATATTGCTGAAAGTGGAGTAAGACTATAACACTTATTATAAGTGAACGACATATTTTTCTTACCTAACACCTCAATGTAAATTTTGAACTGTTTGAAGCACAGGTATTGGATAATAATGAGAACCATAGTTAGCCAATTCTGAGTTAGAGTTGTCTTCCTTCCAGCAATTTGCATTTGCAAAACATCAGTAATTTCTGTACATCATATGTGACTCAATTATTCGAGACATATGTTACATTTGACCACTTTCTAAATGGCATTGTGTACTCTTATTGTTACTGGCTTCATTATCCACTATTGTACTGTACAAACATCTCCTCCAACTTGTATATATGCTTCTCTATCCTCATGCTGGTCATCACTAGTGTGATAACAGTGTTAGAACCTACACCAAACGTCACTCTCATCGCAATAAAGAAGTTGTTCATCCATGTATTGTTATGCTTCCTTACTGCTCCAATTTCTTAATGCCTGTCTAAGAAGTTTATCTTTGAAAGATATGTTGAGTCTTCAACCACATCTCCTACACAAAAATCTTATTAAACAAAAAATTGATGTGGGGAAACTACACTCATACCATTTTTGTCGAGTCGCATCCAATTATCACTCAATGGCATTGTGTTTTCATATCCCGCAATGTAATATCATTTTCATTTTTGTAATAAATTTATCATGTTTGCAGTTATTTATTAATCTGCTTTCATGTTTTGGTGGGTACTCTTCATTTAAACTAAAATTGATGTGTCAAACGTATCATTAAAAGCAAGACTTTATGGATGACAACTTATTCAGGCGATGAAGGCATACAAAACGTCATGATAATGTTATTAAGAGCAACATTGTTATTCACAATCTTGTTTAGTAATGGCTATTTTAAGCAGTGAGGTAATCATGGTAATAAAATGCACTCACAAACTTAGGCTCATAATATAGAGATGATGATTTCAAAAGTAGGGAGGGGGGGGGGTGTCACCCATTTTGTTCTGGGGAGGTAGGGGGTCATCAATTTTGTACACATGGACTAGGGAGGGGTTCAGCAATTTTGTACATGACATGCATGTGTGTGTGGGGGGGTCACTTACTTTGTACATAAGTTTTAGGGGGGATCATTCACATGGTACATGCTTAACCATAAAAATCCACATCAACCCACAAGTTATGGGACTCAACCCAACAAATGTACAAGAATTTGTACTAATAACAACATATCGCCTTTGTAGATAGCAGTGTCAACAAGTGAAGCCTGTACAATACATAGAGGGGGATTGCCAATGATAAAGATGATAAGGACATTGGTATAAATATATGGTTCTCTATCCTCATGCTGTTCATCACTTGCTTGATAATGGTGTTAGAACCAACACTGAAACGACACTCTCGTGCAATAAAGAAGTTGTTCATCCATAAATTGTTATCCTTCCTTTTTCCAAAAGATGTATTTGGTAATATGTTGCTAGTTATAACAGGAAATATAAATATATGTCGGTGTTGACAGGTAACCACAAATAAACAACTTTTTTATTTAGCTTGTATTGTATAGTTATAAAAGGAAATTTTGAAATATATGTCGGTTTGACTGTAGACAGGATTTGTGATCTGAACAGACAGTGGGCGTGGCCATGTGGAGGACAGGATGTCATTCACTGGTTAGTCATAGTGATTTTGACAAAAGCTCAATTACCGTACTTGGTATTAGTGCTAAGGATAGCAAAGATAATGGTCATTTGTTAAAGATCTGTAGTGAATAATTGTATACCATGGAGATAGAGTATCTTTAGGGTGGTGAACCCTTTCTCTCTCTGTGAGCTCACTCCACCAGTTTGTGCATTCTGGCACTGTCAAAGAGACCACAGTTGGTTAGATTCCATATTTTCTGTGATTAGTACCAGTTAAGGTAAAGATTAATTTTATAGAGTTCATGGATTTATAGCTCATCATCAGTGGTCAAAGTTTCGGAAATAAAATTGTGTATGTTTCTTTGTGGTGAAAAGTCTATGTCAAAAAGTGTATTATGAAAAATACTTCAGGCTTTCACTTGAACATGGTGGTTTAAACCTAAAGTTTAATAGAATTTGAATTCTTTTATCATCATGGTCAGTGAATAATGCCAGATATGTAATTAATATAATATTTTACCGAATGTCCAGGTTTACTTTACAGACAGGGACCTGAATGAGATCCAGATCAGCATGATTAGTATACCAACTGGGGCGGTGGGGTAGCCTAGTGGTTAAAGTGTTGGCTCGTCACGCCGAAGACCCGGGTTCGAATCCCCACGTGGGTACAATGTGTGAAGCCCATTTCTGGTGTCCCCCGCCGTGATGTTGCTGGAATATTGCTAAAAGCGGCGTAAAACTAAACTCAGTCAGTCAGTTAGTATACCAACTAACCAAGACAGTCCAACTACAATATGAACCAATTGTAACTGTTTTAACACACTGTAAACTGACCTTTTCAGCATGTTCACTGTTTCAAGTAATGTAGTCATGTTCATACTCTG